GACTTTAAACTTTGACTTTCTCGTTTGACTTTTAAATTTTCAAATTTAACTTTTGAGTTAGACTTTTCAAGTTTAACTTTTGAGTTTGACATTTAAATTTGACTTTTAAGGTTGACTTTTGATGTTTGTAGTCAAAGGGTTTGATTTTTAGGTTTGATTTTGGCTTCTAGTTGTGTTTTTAATGACTTTTAAGGTCAACGAGGGAAATAAAGACATGAAAGACAGTCGTCAGGAGATGTTAAGACAAACTTTCAACATGTTCGATTATATCCCTAGAGAAACCCTAGAGGCTCAGCTGTAGCGATTCACCACTCTCACTACTAAGATGAATATAGCTAGGATCTTCTTGACTAAATCGGAGATAAACAAAATAACTACTGAATTCACTTCTGAAATTGTGGGATATGAATGTGTCTATCATCAAGAAGACAAAAGATCTCAGTCGTCTTAGTATTGCTGATATAATTGAAGAGCTTGATGCTTTGAAATGTGGAGAAGCAATGAGTTCTGCAAACATCCCAGTCAATGAAGCTTCATGTGCTCCATCTTGTGAAAATACGATTAAAATTCTCCATGAACATAATGATTTGCTAAAAAGGGAAGTCGAGGACCTAAAATACGAAGGATATCAACTTAGGAAACGACAGAAACCCCTGAAGGCAGAATTAGAAGCAAAAACCAAAGACTTTAGGAAGCTTCAGGAAGAGTATAGCAACAAGTGTGAAAATTATGAGTATATTAAGTGAAAACTTGCTATTGTAGCTGAAGAACTTAACACTTTGAAAATTAAGTGTGGAAAAACAAATGTTAGTTTCAAAAATTATACTTCGTCAAGTCAGATAGTCGAGTCCTTATTAGAAACCAATTAAAATTCAAAGATAATCAAAACAATGGTCTAGGGTATGATAGTGTTCCTCCACCTTTCAATCATAACTACACATCCATCCCTATGACACAGGCAGAAATTAACAGTGAGGAACATCTTCAATATGGAAAACCAGTTGGATTTGTGTCAGGAGGTATTCAGGTTGAAAATACTAATGTTTCTACTTCATGTGCAGGTAAAGTGGCATAAGATGAGAACAAGGAGAACACTGTTGAACAAACCAATGACTCCTTGAACTTAAAATATGTTGCTTCGAATTCTGTTACTCCTAACAAACCTGTTGTTGAGAAATATAGGCCACCAATTTCAGTGCAACAGAGTGCTTGTTGCAAGTATGCATTTTGAACAATAATAGAAAAGGCAAGGATACGACACCAGGGGCAGGAAGAAACAACTTCACAGTGAAGAAAAAGACATGTTTTAACTGTAGAACACCTAGAAATATTGCCCAAAACTATCAAAATCATGCATATGTTCCCTACTACACACAAGGCTGGCAGAACGCGCCAAGAGGGAGATACTTCAAAAGGAACCCCTCAAGGTCACGTTCAGACCATGGTGACTGGAATGTGCAGAAGGCCAAGAATCCGAATCCCAGGGGCAAGAAGGAAATGTCGGCCAAGAAGCCCAATCCAAGAGATTCTCCAGTGAAACAAAGACTGATTAGGTCAAAGTCATCTCAACAGTCGACATCAAGATTAAAAGCATGTGTCGAGGCACCCATCCGATCCAACAAGAAATGGGTTAAACCTAAATACAAATGGGATATGTCATGGGAGAGAGTACCGTGCAATGATGACAAAGGTCGAACCAGTTGTAAAATAGATTGGGTTCCAAAGACCAACTGATCCCGCTCTGTGTCAGAGAAGCTATGGAGGCATATCATCAGACTTCAGTTTATTGGTAGTGGCTGCTCCTAGCATATGATAGGGGACATCTCTCAACTATACAACACTCAGAACTTTGTTCGAGAGTATACGTCCTTTGTGGGAAAGGAAAGAAAGGAGGAAAGGAAGAGATCACAAATGGGGTTAGTGCGTAATGACATGACGAATTTTCGGATCTGTTATGAGATTATGTGTGCTGTTCTCACACCTCCTGGATGCAAATTCAATCGGTGAATTACGGTTTGCATTTTATTCTCTATACTCCTGAGTTTATCTTACTATGATTCGTTTTAAAGACAAATTTTCATTTTCTTAATAGTTTTTCGTTAGTAGTTATTATCGGGAAATGATATTAGCAAGTGATAATGGACAATTTGAATCTGCGTAACGTACCTAAATTGAATCGTCTATGATCTGTGCTGGATACGCTAGTAGGCACGAAAGATTTTAAATGGACTTGACTAGGGAGAGTTGAACTTAAGGAATTCAAGGACTTGACAAACATTAACCTAGTTAGATCCATTTAGCATGACATCACGACGCTCGGATAGGTTGAGCAGGGAGATACACATGAGAATCTACCGGTCAGATTAAAATAACAAGTATCTAGAACTGTGGATTAACTTTTCCTCGATATAAGGATTATATCCTTAATTTCGGTTTTGATGGGGTGACTGGGGAATTCCGATAAACTAGGTCTCTAGAAGGTTATTTCTTTCTTTTTGTCTGTTAGTCATATGTTGCCTCCTCTGCGTGATTGAGAGATCTGACCTGGACCATAACATATGCAATTCTATCTCTCTGCATCTTCTCTCTATCCAATTCTTCCATTCTGTTAGCCACATACTGTCTCCTTTGTGTGACTCATAATCCGACCTGGTACACAGTATATGCAACGTTCTCTTCTCAATCCCTCTAAAACTTCAGTTACTCATATGTTTCATCCTATGCGTGACTGGAAGAGATCCGACCTGGATGTACAGCATATGCATTCTAAATCTATCTTCTCTCTTAATAATTGTTTGCTCATCCGGTGTAAAGAGTATTTTGGAAGTCATTGATGGCTGGGGCATATCCAGAAGTGGGAAACACGTTTTAGTATAATTAAAATGAACACATACATATTGTCTGTAGATCCCGCTACTCAATTTAGGTGGACAACAATATCCCTGGTTGTAGTCTGTTAAATGATCACAAGGAAATTTATTTAAGAATAAGGGCTAAAAAATGTCATGTCATTGGTAAATTGTCCAAATTCTGTCACAAATGTTTCGTGCTTAAGTGAACCACAATACTGGCGATCGATCAGACGAAGACGTGAAAATATGGGTACTGAAAAGTAGACTAAGGCTGTCTAACAACTTTGATCCCAAATATTTTTCTTTTTTGTTAAATTTGTTCATAGTTTTCCTCAATGCACAAATTTAGGGGGAGAATTAAAAAAAAATCAAAAATCAAAAATCCATAAGTATTTTTTATTTCTGTTTTATTTCTTGTTCAGAAAAATCAAAAATCCAAAAATATTTTTGTTTCTATTTTTAATTTGTATGCTAAGTTTTCTTTTAGTTTAGTTTTGTCTTTAAAAGTGAATTCATGTGTAGATGAGACTCATGGAGACTGTATTAAAGATTTTATGAGCCAAGGCTTCATCCGTGATCATCGAAGAACTTGCATTCGAAGGAGCAAGAAATGAAAATTATTCTTTCGACATTCAATCCTTCAACCCTAGAAGCAAGGTGAAGCTGAAATTGAAGATTATGTGATGGAGTGCATTGAAGCCATCTCAATCAGTCTGCTGCTATCTTAAAACCTACTAAAGTGATCCAAAAGATTTTTTCTCTCTGATGTTCTCTCTGAAGATCCTCACCCAATGTGCGTTCAATGTCATATTCTGAAGAAAAGCTCAAGGGCTGAAGATGAAGTCATTTATGGAAAATTCATATGTTCATCCTGATGCTGTGAAGAAATCGAAGGTTAAAGCTGAAGCCAAGCTCCCATTAAAGATTGACAAGAAGAGCCAACTACATTTTTGGGGGAGCTTGTTAGGTCAATTAAGAAAAGAAAGATATAAACCAAAGGGGAGATTGTTGGGTCAAAATAGGGTTTATACTTTGCTTTTCTGGGGAATTTTATTTTTATTTAATATTTTATGTGCTTACAGTCTAGTTTACGGCCAAGTGGGGTGTTTACGGTTAGTGTTTACGGTCGTTAACAAGTTTACGGCCGTAAACCCATTTACGGCCCATGTTCCCCTTGTATATATATATATATATATATATAGGTGTTAGGGGTAAGGAGTAGTGATTGATGAACAGAAAAGGAGTGTACGACCTAGAGAGAGAGAGAGAGAACAGAGAGTGTGTGTTAGTGTATGTGACAGTTTACGCCCAAGCTAGAGTTTACGGCCGTAAACTTGTTTATGGCCGTAAACCCAAAGGCCGGCCCAGGTCTGTTATATATAGGAGTATGCTAGGTCGTTTAATGGTTGTTGATGCCTCAGAGTCTCGGCTGCTATTCCACAAGCTGTACCAGACGTTTTTGCTAATAGGAGCATGTGCAAGATTGTTTATATTATTGTCTCCACTTTGTTCTTGATTGTTATTGATTGTGTTTACTGTTTGATCACTGGTAAGATCCGTTTTAGGACCTTACAACAAGAATCGGTTAGGCACACAAGAAAAAAAAACAAAGTTCATGCCTGCCTAAAAACAACAAAAGAGAGCATAACATATTCACATAATTAGCACCGTCAAGACATAGAGATGAGTTGGGCACACAGTAATTCGTTCTCCTGAAGACAAGTTTCATAAACTTTTGAAAAAGATGAGAAAAGCATAAATGACTAAATATATCCTACCGTGATACCAAATGTAGTGTGTTTAAATCGAGTATTAAAAACATAATCAAATAACATAAATTTTTAAGAACACAGATGTAAATAATTTATGTTTGGCTCGTTGATTTGTCTGAACAACTATAGAAGAACAAGAGAGAGAAAAGAACGAAAATACCTAAGAGCTACACTTAAATTCTATACTAACCATATTAATAAGGTGACACAGACATATAAAAAGTATGTAACAGCTAAACGTTATGCTCCAACATCTAACATTGCCTTACAAAATACGTACATATCGAAATACAAGAGTTTGACACTACACAAACCTAAATAGACTTTGACACCTCACTAGACATTTCGACCCTACATGTTAGAATCGGTACTACCATTAGAGTTCATAATTTGTTTGTGCAAGAGCTTTCTGATTTTCCAGCAAAGCAACCTTGGCCATACCTTCTCGGTGACATATAGACAGGTCGGCATACATCTTCGCTACCTTCACCAACCTTTCTTCACTTGCAAGCTTCATACCCTCAGCAACCCATAAACTCACCTCTGCATCTAAAATCCAATATTGTAAGGTTAATAAACCATCATAAAACTTGAGATCCCACCCAAGTACAATATAAATCATTTTTTAGCATTGGCTATAAAATTGCATGCTTTTTCGAACTGTTCCTCAAACAGTATGCAACAAGGGAACACATCTACAGGAACCAGGAAAATGTCATTAGCGGGAAAAAAATACTATAGTAAAGCCTAAAACATAGGTGTAAGCACATAAAACATAGGCAGAATGTTTACATACCAGCTGGTTTAAGGGTAACATGACCCAAAGTAAAAGGACAAGTGTAACGAGGGCCTACCTGGTAAATTTCAAGAAACAATTGCTCAAAATGATCAGGGAAAAGGAGCCACCTACACTTCTGATTAGGAGATAAAATATTTGGGGGCACCACGCCTACTGAGCTGGAGGAACTAACATGTGAATTACCAATCATAGGACAAGAGATCTACAGAAGTTGATCAATAGAAACACGTTCGACCCAAACCTGGAAAGTGTAACGGGAAACTCGAGTATTGAAATCATCGGGTCCACATCTCGGTCCGGAACTACACCATTCAATACAATGGACTTAGGAGAAATGTCACCAATCAAATATGATTTCATCTGAAAGGAGTATTTACTCCCATTCACAACAATAAATAAGCATAGAAAAAACACCCGAAGGAAGCATTTATATCAGGAGATTACCAAAGATCAGAAAAAAAAAAAGTATAACAAATCTAGTAAAAAGGTTAGACAAACATGCACAACAAGCAGATAACACTAGCAATTGGCATAGAGCTTTCCAAATGGGCTCATGTGACACAAAGCAAGTACAATATCCAGTAGAAATGATCTATTCACACTAACATGAGAAAATCAAGGCACAAATGCACGTAGATTCGCAGAAAAAGATGTTGAGTCCTCACCAAGCAGAACATAATAAGGAACAAATGGTAGACATAAGATTTACACATCCACCTAACAAAAATTACTTTTCCAGTTACCATTGGAGTAAGATAAATATGGGGAAAGGGGTAAATGGTGATTGCTAAATGAAAACCAATCAACATACTTCTTCAAGCGGTAAAAGTAGCAAAACAAGGTGACATCAAGTGGTATTTCGAGAGCAATACAAAAAAAAATTGAAAGTAACAATATTTGACATTGCGTTACAACATAGTTAAACAAGATGAACTTTATAGAAACAAAGAACTTCCAAAAAGAAATGAGAGGGTGTTAACCTTAACCCACAAACAAGATGCCTAAGATAGAACCCAATCTTACTTGGTAGGGCATCAAGAATAGATGAAGATGAATATAGAACTTGGAAACTGAGTACAGGAGGCAAGTGATATTTGTGTAAGCATGCAAGAATACTGTCACTGTCATCACCCATACCAATCCACTATAGATGCAACTATTGACATGTCATCACCCACACCAATCGTACTTACGTGAAAGTCAAAAGGAACACAATGTAACAAAGTTTCTAAGAAACATATCAGCTTAGCCACTAAATAATCAGAGGGATCCATTAAAGCATTTATTAAGAGAAATATAATCAAAGTTAGAGAAATGACATGCGACAAAGCAGGCATTTAATATGCCCCATGAGATGAACGTTCTAATACCCAAGGCAGATTTCCAAGTCCTAACGGAAAAAATATTTCGACAATATTGTTTCCCCTTTAGACTGGGGGGGGGGGGGCTTAATGGTGTACTAAGCCGATAGTCCGTGGAAATCTATTACCGACCCGATACTTACCATACCGGCGTACAGAGACCACAACTTGTCACAAACAAATATAAATTAGAATTCACCGTACACAAGTATCGGAACCATATCCCATGAAACATGCAATAGAAATTGTACGAAACAACAAAATAACAAGTAATGGACAACAGATGTGACTACCTATATAATAGATAATAGATGAAGGACCGGTCAAGACTATGAACTATTCTAATAATGAGCAGCCTAAAAATAACCTAGAAACATGAAATCTAAGTCGGACTAAAGTAAGGAAAAAAAAGACATCGTACACATCATTAAGGCAACACTAAGAATCGCAATCTAATTTAGGCATCGGAGAGTTATGTCGGGGTCCAACCCTCATTATAGCTGTCTGACCTAGCACTTATTTAACTTATGCAGAGAAGATTTCATGACAGTTATTGGACTGCGACCTTTTGGTCAGCGATCCCATGATCTTATAGGATTTCTTCCCTATTTAAGCACCTAGTCTCAATGACTAGGGCATCTCCTGCAGCTTGAACCCTCATCATGAAACCCAAGCCTCCATCGATGCTTGAGAGCCTATCTTCTTGATTTAGATCTTATTCTTTGGATTGTGGTGATGCTTGATGGAGAAGGAAGCTTACATTGGTGCAAGGAATCAAGGAGGTGGTTTGGATCCATCATTCTATTCTGATTTTGGATCTATTTGAGGTATAAAGTTCATACCATGGCATTTCTTCTTCTTGATTTAATTTTGGATCAATTTAGGTGGTTTTGGTTCCTTTCATGGATACTCTTGGAGTTTGAGGAAATCTAGAGCTTGTTACGCTCCATTTTAGTCTCCAAGCTTCTGGTAATTGCGAAAAAAACCATGGTTGGAGTTACTTTGTGTCAATGTTCAATATTTGGCCTGATGAAGGACTTATTAAACTTAGAATCATAGATCTTAACTTGTGGTGGAGTCTTAATGGATAAAGTTGGAAACTTTATCCATTAAGTCATTGGAAAGGACTAGATCAGAAGTTATAGGCTTTCTACGACATAGAAATGGGTCTTAATGAAGAATATGTACATCTGCTAGTTTTTATGACATAGAAATGGGCTTTCCACGACATGGTGGTTCATAGCTTCATAACTATTTTTTCATGATGTGCCCACAACATGGCCAAGAGGTCTCCGCGTTGTGGTGAATGTTGACTTGGTTGACCATTGATGTTAACTTTTGACCAGTTTCACTTTAGGTCAAACTTGAATGACTTTGATTATTGATTAAGGATTTATCTGGATTTTGTGCCAACCAGTTTGCAGAAGTGATCACTTTAAGGAGTAAGGGAAATATTGTCTTTAGAATACCATGGTTGTTGATCATCTACTAGAGTGTCCTAAGGGGTGTATGTAATCATGGGATATCCTGAGAACTCTTGATCTAGACATTCTTGCATGTTCCTTGTTTCGTTCTGGCTCTAAAGTGGGATCACATGTTCGACTATCTATCTTACCTCTGATTACATATAGCTATGAATTCATTAGTTACATGAAAGTGGTGACGTAGAGTAGTGTATGATACCATTTATGCGGTAGAGGGTTGTTAGACAGGTACTCTAGTGTAGATAATTGCATGCACTTATGTTTTTCTTTGATTTTTTGTTTGATCTATATGTCGAAATATTAGGTAGTGGGTTAAGGCCGTCTGAAATTGTGTTGTTGGCTGAGATACTCGAGTGGACCAACTGTATGTTGTATACCAGGTGTGGGTTAGTTGTATGTGTGTGTGTGTGTGAGAGAGAGAGAGAGAGGTCTAGGTCTACTGTAGGCCTTTAACGATGGTCCAATCAGACTGTAGGCCTTGAGAGGTGGGCCTGACAAACTAAAGGTTCATGTGTTTATTTATTATATATGTATTGTGGTGTGTGGTATTTTGGGGGAACCTGATGGGTTTTAGCCATAAGAACTTTCCTATGTGCGCATGCAAAACCCTATTGCTCGGATCTAGGCTTTCTAATAAACATGCTTTGAATCCAAGACTTCTAATAGCTAATTAGGTTAAATAACAATGATGAAACAGATCTAGAATCATACCTTTGAGTTCCTTGTTGATCTTGTTTGTCTTGGAGCTTCTAGAGTCACAAATGTCACTCCTCTAATGGCTTACAAACACCAATAGCAAGCAAGATGATTTAGGAGAGAGGAGAGGGGAGGAATTCGGCCAGAGGTTCCTTGCTTTAGGTTGTGTGTCGGATTCCCTCACCCCTAGGGTCTATTTATACTTGTAGACTCCTTAAGGATTACAGCTTTAACCCTAATTGGATAACTTAGACTTTAAGTTGATCCATATCCTTTCCTTGATAACCCTATGGACGATTTTGGCTTATCCAAGCCCTAGAAATCGTCCATCCTATCTAGGATAAGGATTTATAGTCTAAAGTTTAACTATCAAACAATTGACAGTTTATACCCTCTTATTTAATTAATCTCTTTAAGTCACCAAATTAATTCCAATTAATCTATGACTTATATTAATCAAATAACCATATATTATTCCTTATAATATTTACTCTCTTTTAACAAATCATCCATCAAGTTGCTATGGTGAAGGCAACCCAAAAGGACCATGCACAACCGGATATAGTTATAGCCTTAGACACTATTCCAACAGAACCCACTTAGCTTTGGCTTACAGTTATGGATTAAACTTTTTTCAAGTACCATTGGTGATTATGGGAAGGCGAAGGCATGACTGTACATACTCATCAATAACAATCGAGATTATGCATTATTTATATTAGTATGATTTTCAAACAAGTGTATATTTTGGAGCATATTGGTTTTCATAACTTGAGTTTTATGTAAATGGTGATTTTTCCTTATTTAAGCAATGACATATTTTCTTATGAAAATGGGATGTTACAAGGTAGTATTAGGGCCCTGGTTTAAAGGATTTAGAGGAACACTTGTGTAAATCAAAACTCATCTCAGATCTGAGAATTTTCACAAAATGTTTTTGAAAAATAAATGTTTATAAAATGGTTAGGTTGGTCACATGGGCTCGGTCTCTTGTCATGTTCTTGTTTGACTTTTGGATTGGGACCGTGAATGTGGATCTTTGACTTAAACTGGTTTTACAAGAAGATATGATGTGTATAGTCAGCTAGAGTCCAAATAGGAAAGTGATTCCCCAAATATCCATACTTGTTATATATGTTGAATTTGAGCTTGTTAATATGTGAATTATTATGAAAGCATGCTAGTGGGTAGGTTAAGGATCCCTTTAGGGACAATATTATAGTATTGTCTGACTTTAGTAATGCCTTGGTGATTTTCTTGCTACGTGCTACTTGATTTTGTTAATTGCTAAGTGTATGTGTATAGTTATATACGATTAGGATTATATAGCCTTAGAAAGATTGACTTTGCCTTATTTTTGTTACTTGTTTCGTTAAGGGATTAGGGTATAGTCATTTATTCATAAATCTTTTTGATCATGTATTGCATACGACTTGCATGCACGAGGCAACTAGTGGTATTGGTATATGTTCAAGCAGTGTAGAAATGTGATTGAGGAGAATCCTAGGAGGAGCACCTAGGAAGTTAGGTGCGACTCATAGGAGCATGTGGGTGTTAATACACCTAGGAATGGTCTAGTGTAGTAACTTAGGACCTTCAGATGAACTCTAAATCTCTTACAGATAAGTGTGGAAAGTATTATGAGCATGTACTACTAAAAGCACATGATCTGTATGTGAATCAGAAGGAGTCTCAAGGCTAGTATGGCACTAATAGGTCAAGGCATAGTGTGTTTGAGAGCTATGTATTGATGTTTGACCTTTTTATTGTGTGTTACAGTATGCTGTCTATTAGAGGATTAGGATCAGGTTCAGGTTAC